CCCCCCCACCCCCCTTTACTCTTCCCGTACCCCCTTGGGCTCTGTCTCGTCTCGCTTGGCATTCGCATTTCCCTGCCTTTGTCCTGTTACTGGTCGGCAGTGCCGGTCTGCTGATTGATTGATACCACACCCACACCTCCATACCGCACACCATATGATACACCCCATACTGATGGATCCGGCAGAGCGTCACCTTACTCGTTCGTGCCGCGGAGGTGGGTGCACCACCCCACCGCTGCTTCTGGGCAGAACACGGGAAACGAAAAGGAAAAGGAAAAACCGGCTACCAAGGCTGTCGTGCATGAGAACATCTACACTATACCCAACATCCTCACTGCTTCACGTCTGGTAGCCGCCCCCGTAATCGGCTACTCCATCCTCACAGGCAGCCATACTCTGGCCCTCTCGCTCTTTGCCTATGCCGCCGTCACCGACCTGGTGGACGGCTACATCGCCAGAAGATGGAACCAGCAGACTGTCGTTGGGACCGTCATCGACCCCATGGCCGATAAGTTCCTGATGACCATCGGCGTCGTTTGTCTTGCCATGAAGGCTGCTATCCCGAGTACGTTTCTCAATTCACTTCGCACCCGAATATAAGCGTTGTAGCATACTGGCTAACTAACGGTGGTAAGTGTGGTTGGCTGGTCTTATACTGGCTCGCGACGTCGGGCTCGGGTTTGCAGCCATATACTACAGATGGATTTCTCTGCCTCCGCCTAAGACCATGAAGCGATACTGGGACTTCTCTCTTCCTTCGGCCGAAGTCAAGCCCACGGAGGTGTCCAAGGTTAACACGGCGCTGCAGCTTGCTCTGCTGGGCTCTGCGATGGCCATGCCTGTGCTTCCCGAGGCCATGATGACGGCCTGGTACCTGCAGGAGGGCATGGTTGGGTTACAGTGAGTTGTTTTGCTCTTTGCTCTTGCTTCTATCTACACTTTATCCCCGGCATAAAACTACGCTGCAGCAAGCACTCAGTACATACGACCACAGGAAGTGGAAAACAGAGCTTCCCGTCCGCTCAGCTGTACTTAAGCCACTTGCCGGTCGGTTAGTAGTTGGGTGGGTGACCACCAGCGAATCCCGACTGTCGTATGTTTTTGGATATTTTTTATTCTTCCTTTCTTTTTTGACTCTTTCATGAATGTCTTCGTCTTTTTCTTTACTAACTGTGCTAGATATCTCGTCGCCTTTACTACCTCCTGGTCCGGCCTCCAGTACATCTTCAACAAGGACGTCGTTCGCATCCTACACGATAACAAGAACACAAACAAGGACTCGGACTCCAAGACGAACTGACGGCCCCCTCGAGGGTGAACGTGTATATGTCTATGTGTGTAATTATATCTCGTTGCAAGCGTGGCATGTGGCATCTTCTAGTACTGCTCTTTTGGCAAGGCTTCTTTTGGTCATATATCTCGGTTGAAGCATCTCTTGTAGCATACTCGTTTCTATCTATCAGCTGAGCTTCATCAGACTCGTCAGGACACTACTGCTATCTTTATCCTCGTCTTCCTCTTCGTCTTTGTCCGCTTCATCTTCAATCACGTTGGATTATCAGCAGGACAGGATCAACGTTTGTCCGCTAAAAAAGCGTTGAAGCTCAACAACCTGGAGCTCCATCCAGCCCTACATGCAATTTTGATATCGTCTTTCTTTTCCCTCCATCCTTCAATCCTTTCTTTCGTCTCTCCCTGCGATGTTCCGCTCCATTTTTACCCTCTGTTGACTCCTCCTAGCCAGCTAGCTAGCTGCAAGTGCAAGCTGCCAAAGATGCTGCCCTATATCAACGCCCGTTCGTCCCTCCCACACGAAAAAATGTCCTCTCTACCTGCTCATATCTCGTTATTGACTCTTCAACAACAGCTTTCGCCGCCGCTGGAGAGGTAATCGGCGCATCTGCTGATGAGCGTATGTACTCACTTTTACTCCCTACTTCATATTTAGGTCCTCTTGTCCTAATTCACAGTAGTAAAACTCATCACCTCGTTCCTCCTCTCGTACCCCCTCGCAGCTATACTAAAGAGACTCCCGGACTCTCAACCCTGGAAGAAAAACGCCTTCATCATCGCCGTCTCGCTCTTCTACCTGGTCGGTCTCTTTGATCTCTGGGATGGCGTCCGCACCCTCCTCTACTGCTCCGCAGGAGCATATGCAATCGCATACTACGTTGACGGCTCCATGATGCCCTGGGTTGGCTTCACATACCTCATTGGATACATGTCCGTCAGCCATATAATTAGACAAATCGTCAACGACCCTACTTCCATCGATGTCACCGGTGCCCAGATGGTGCTGGTCATGAAACTGAGTGCGTTCTGCTGGAACGTGCATGACGGCCGATTACCCGACAGCCAACTCAGTGAGGCCCAGAAACACGCTGCCATCAAGGAGTTCCCCAGCTTGCTTGATTTTGCCGGATACGTGCTGTTCTTCCCTTCGTTGTTGCAGGT